TCATCCCCGAGTACCACCGGGAATCACCCCCGGGAACCACTCCCAGGCACCTCCGGGCACTGCCGGGTACCACCATCCACCATCCCCAGGTACCACTGGGAATCACTGGGTACCACCAGCCCCTCCATCCCATGCCACCGATTCCCACCCACCCGTGGTGGGACACAGCGCCGGGTCAGCCACCTCTGGACCATGCCTGAGCGTCCCTTCCCGCGGGGCTGCCCCTCCCCGGTTGCCCCGGGGTTGGTGCCAGTCCCTGGTGGGTGTCTGAGCCCGTGTCCTCCACCCCAGGGCCCCCCAGGAGAAGCCAAAAGCCTCAGCAGCACCCAAGCCCCGTCCAGGCCCGACGGATGAGGCGCAGATGGCAGCGGCCGCAGCGCTGGCACGGCTGGAGCTGAAGCCCAAGGGCAAATCACCTTCCTCCCAGGAGACCATCAAGAACCAGGGTAGGAGCTGTGTAGGGACACCCGAGTTGGGTGGTGGGGCTGGGTGGGATGGTTGTAGCTCCCACAGAGCCTGGGGACAGTGGTCCCACATGGAAAAGTGTCAGGGTGTAGCTCCTAAGGATGATTTGGGGCACTACTGGCTTCAGCACTGGCTTGAGGGTCATGGAAATGAGGTCACAATCACCTATGGGCTGGGACAGAGCAGTTGGGCAGGTGTTTGCTTCCCTAGGACAGTGTTGTGTTGTCCAAGAGCCTTTGACAGTGGAGTGACAGGTTGGACTGGATGATTCTATGGCTTAGGATTTAGTGGTTGCAGCAGTGACAGGTTAATGGTTGAACTTGATGACCTTAGGTCTTCTCCAGCCTTGATGATTTCATGATTCTATGGTTTAGAGGTCACAGCAATGACAGGTTAGTGGTTGCACTTGATGATCTTGGAGGTCTCTTCCAGCCTTGATCATTCTAGGGTTTAGGGGTTATAGCAGTGTCAGGTTAGTGGTTGGACTTGATGACCTTAGAAGTCTCCTCCAACCTTGATGATGCTATGAAAAGCCTCAGGAATCTGCTGAGCCTGTGCTGTTTGTCTCTCCTAGTGAGAAAAGAGCTGATGGCTGAGGCAGCTGCCAGCGAGAAGGGACAGTCCATGGAGGAGAAGGTAAGGGAGATGCTGCCATTCCCTGCTCAGCACCCGTGGGGGCTGCTCTCTGTCCTGTGTGGATCTGCAGGAACAACAAAAAGACTCTCAAAACCTCTCTGGGCTCAGTTTGGTGCCTGGTTTTTTCTCCCCTAGGATCTCACCTCCTCCCAGGAGGAGGGGGCAGCTGCTCCCTCTGTCTCAGGGGTCTATTTCATCTGCCCACTGACTGGTGCTGTGGTGAGGAAAGACAAGAAGGAGAAGCACCTCAGAGAAGCTATCCAGGCAGTGAGTGATCACAGCTTCCTTCCTGCTCTTTTTCTGTGGCATGTCACACCCTCCAGCAGTGATGTCTCCAACCCTCCACCTTCTCCCTGTAAAGTCTTCCCCTGGCATAACTTGACCTGTTAAATAATCTTTAGCCCAGTCCATGGTGGGTTTGATCTCACTGTGGGGGCAGCAAGAGTGGTGCTGAGTTGGGGTGAGCTCCTCCTGACCAGCTTCTCTCCTTCTCCCTCAGTATTTCTCTGTGGATCCTGTGGCTGCTTCCATCATGGAGATTCACACCTTCAACAAGGACAGGGAGAAGGTCCGAGTGGGCGTGGAGACCATGGCCAAGTGAGTGGGACTCATCCCTTCCCAGATGGATTTGCTTGTTGTGCTCCAAAGACTTTTTCTGGATGAAAACTCAACTCTCGAACACCTGAGTTGTCAGTTGGCCCAATGACCCTGGAGATGTTCTATGGGTTGGCCCACTAATCCCAGAGATTTGGGAGCTGCTGGTGTTGTCTTAGCCCCAAACACTGATGAATTTTACTTTTCTCAGCTCTTCTCTCTGTGATAAATACCTTGAGGCCTCTCAATATCTTCTCCCACCTTGGAGCAGCATGTCCTGCTTTGATCCATACAGTGCATTCCTCTTTCTGCAGGTACCTGGATAACATCTACCTCCATCCAGAGGAGGAGAAGTACCGGAAAATCAAACTGCAGAACAAAGTGTTTCAGGTGAGCTCAGGCTCCTGCAGCTGCTCAGCCTTGGAAAGGCCTTACTGAACTCAACTACATCTAAATCCTTTCCTTTTCTTCCAGGAAAGGATAAGCTGCTTGGAAGGGGTACACAGATTTTTCCAGGCTGTTGGGTTTGAGACAAAAACTCTGCCTGTTCCAGGACAAGGCAAGAAAGCTCAGTGTGCTAATGTGGGGTCAGGGGTTTGTGGGATGTGCTGGAGAAGGTTGCTGAGAGCTCCACAGGCTGGAACAAAGGTTGTTACTCCAAGACTAACAAAAACAGCCACTTAGCTTGCAGATTCCCTGCCAAGACATGACATCTCCTGAAGATCATTGCCTTTCCATTCCCTGCATTGCTCTTGTAAAGACCATGGAATTTTAGGGGTTGGGATGGAGCTTAGAGATCACCTAGTCCCAATCCCCTGCCCTGGGCAGGGACACCTCCCACCAGAGCAGGTTGTTCCAAGCCTCATCCTACCTGGATTTGAACTCTGACAGGGATGGAGCAGTCACAGCTTCCCTGGGCAACCTGTGCCAATGTCTCACCACCCTCACAGGGAAGAATTCCTTCCCAGTATCTAAGAGTCAGTGATGACCTCTCCCACCTCTTCCCAGGCTTTCACATTTCCTTAGAGAGCTGCAGTGAAGGATCTAAAGGTAAAATCAGAGGCTTGAAACAATTTCTTTGAGCATCTTATGTCAAGGTCTCCTGAGACCCAGGGCTCTGGCAGAGACTAGGTGAGCATTGCTGGGTGGTAGAGGTGAGGGAGATGCTTAGGAATGCTCCCAGGGTTGGCTCAGGAGGAGATGTGCACCAGTCACACTTCCTTTCCTCCCAGGGATGGAGGTAGGAGGGAAAATAAAGGGTCTCATAGTGTGTGAAGGGGTTGGAATGGAGCTTAGAGATGATCCAGCCCCAATCCCTGCCCTGGACAGGGACACCTCCCACCAGAGCAGGTTGCTCAAGGCTTGATCCAACCTGGAATGAACCACTGCCAGGACTGGATCCCTGGGCAACCTGTGCCAGTGTCTCAGCACCAAGAGCCTCAAATCCCATCCTTGTTATTGCAGAGACCACAGAGGAGTTCTACGTGCTGAAGGAGGAGATGCTGAACAGGCTGGAAGACCTGAAGGACTCCAAGGAGCAGCTGCTGAGCTCGGAGCCCGTGCGAGCTCAGCTGGATCGGCAGCTCGTGCTGTTCCAGCCCTCACCCGAGGCCGCTCGGTTCGAGCTGCCCAACGACTTCTACAACCTCACTGCAGAGGAGATCAAACGGGAGCAGCGGCTCAGGTGAGGGGGTGGAGCAGGAGGAAGGTCCAGGTGATGCCAACAAGGAGTTTGTGCCTGTCCTTCATGGCTCAAAGAGTCTCTCCTCGCAGGACAGAGGCAGTGGAGAAGGCGTCGATGCTGAGGACGAGAGCCATGAGGGAGAAGGAGGAGCAAAGGGAGATGAGGAAGTACAACTACACTTTGCTCCGAGTTCGTTTTCCTGATGGATACATCCTCCAGGGTAAAAAACACTCCCAGCCCTTTCTTTGTGCACCTACAGAAGCTTCTCACCATCCCACAGGATCTGGCCTTAGTAGATAGGGTTTAGGGTTGGACTTGATAACCTTAGAGGTCTCTTCCAACCTTGATGATTCTGTGGCTTAGGGTTTTGGGGTTACAGCAGTGACAGGTTAATGGTTGGACTTGATCTTAGAGGTGTCCTCCAACCTTGATGATGATTCTATGGTTCAGGGTTTAGGGGTTACAGCAGTGACAGATTGGTGGTTGGACTTGATGATCTGAGAAGTTTCTTCTAACCTTGATGATTCTTTGGTTTAGAGCAGTGACAGGTTAATGGTTGAACTTGATGATCTTAGAGGTCTCCAGCCTTGATGATTCTATGGTTTAGGGGTTACACAGTGACAGGTTAATGGTTGGACTTTATGACCTTAAAGATCTTCTCCAGCCTTGCTGATTCTCTGATCTGAGAGCACTTGTAGTCTAAGAACCTGAGTACCAAGCTGTGCTGAACACTGGTGGAATAAACACCACGAAACCAGAGTGGGATAACACCTCTCCAAGAACTCTTCTCTGCTCCAGGTTGGGATTTGAAGCCAGGATTGAGCAGAGAAGGCAGAATCTGAAGGCCTCATTCATTAAATTCTGCTCTTCCCAGGCCTGTGGGAACAAGCAGGACTCATTAGATCAGTGTGTTAGAGCAACCAGCATGAGGTTGCCTGTGCAACAGCATAAATCCTCTTCCAATTTTCCAGTGGAAGTCTGGAAATCATTTCAGGCTTTCCAAGCTCTTTGTTACAGGCTGGCAGGGGCTGCAGCAATTGAATATTTGACTTTAGGCATTGTGCTTTTGTACATTTGCAGTTAAATGAGGCTGTCTGTGGCCCTGAAGTAGTTCCTAAAGTCAGCAGCAGTGGCTGAACCCCACGAAACCAACCCCAAAAGGTTAGGTTTGGTGAATGCCAGACTCTCTCACCTTGTTTTCTCATGGCAGGGACCTTTTATGCAAGAGAATCAGTATCTGTGCTCTACAACTTTGTGAGAGAAGCACTCAGAGATGACTGGCTGCCCTTTGAGCTCTTGGGACCTGGAGGTCTCAAACTGACTGATGAGAACTTGGCTTTCAATGAATGTGGGCTGGTGAGTAAAGAATGTCAGAGTTGGTACCTTCCAGAGGGTCTTGAGGGTTGGCAGAGTCATCTGCAGCTCAGAGCTTGGGGAGGAGTTTGTGTCTTCTGCTTGCAGAGCTCCAAGTTGTGCTTTGGCTCCTCATTTTAGTGTCAGTTGACAAGTAACTGCTTTGGAGGTTTTCTGGCTGGAAGGTCTGGAGGGACTTTAGGGACCTCCCTCCTGGAGCAAATGCAGCTGCAGGAGTTGCCAGCAGCTCTGTCAGAGGCTGAGCATCCATGCTGGGAGAGAGGGAAGGCAGGAGGCAAGAACAGCTCTGCAGAGCATGAGGGGATGAACAGAAAGCCCAAAACAGCATCCCCTGAAAGGAGCTTCCTGCAGAAATCCACCCTTGTCCTTTGAGCTGCTCAAGGTTTTTCCAGGTCTGTGAACATACAGAGTGTGGTATAAGCTCAAAGGATAACAAAGAAGCTGTGGCTGCTCCAGCCCTGGGAGTGTTCCAGGCCGGGTTGGAGAAAAGAAGCTCCAGAGACCTTCCAGTGCTTCAAGGGGCTCCAAGAGAGCTGGAGAGGGACTTGGGACAAGGACCTGGAGGGACAGGATAAGGGGGAATGGAAGAGGCAGGGATAGATGGATATTGGGAAGGAATTCCTCCCTGAGAGGTGCTGAGGCACTGGCACAGGTTACCCAGAGCAGCTGTGTGTGGCTGTTCTTGGAAGTGCTCCAGGCCAGGTTGGACAGGTCCTGGAGCAACCTGGACTGGTGGAAGGTGTCCCTGCCCATGGGGATGGGATGAGATGAGCTTTAAGGTCCTTCCAACCCAACCCATTCTATGGTTCTGCATCCCATAGCTGGGGGTGGGATGAGCTGAGCTTTAAGATCCCTTCCAAGGCAAACTATTCCCTGATTGCTCCAGCTCCCTAACATGCCTTTCCTGTCCCAGGTGCCCTCAGCCCTGCTGACCCTGGCCTGGGACGCAGCAGTCATGGCAGACATCGAGGCAGCAGGAGAGCCACAGCCTGGCAGCCCCCTGAGGCCGGAGCTCCTCGCCACAGCCCAGACTCTCTCCTGAAATAAAGGGCAGATGCACTCAGTGCTGCTGCTTTTAGACTCTTCCCTCCTTTTCCCATGGAGCTTCCAGCTATGTGACCTCAGAGGTGACTTGGGTTGAGCTCTGCAGAGTGGGAGGTTGGGCTACTGTTCCCTGCGCAGCTCTGGAGACACACAGTAGCACCCAGGAAGACCTTCCTGGACTGTTCTGGAGTAGCTTTCAACACCAACCTAGCAGTTGTGTCTAGCAGTGACTGCCTGAGGTGTTGCCAAGACACGGGTGGAGCACCACTGTCCTCCCCTGGAGCAGGGAATTAGTGCTGTTTAGGCTGGATGACCAACCTGAGCCTGAGTTTGGGGCTGGGTTTAGAACTCAGCTTTCCCCTTTTGCTTCTTTGTGCACTGTAACTCCTATTGGAGAGAAGACTTTTAGGTAAAGTTACACTTAAGGCTGATTAAATGGAATTATTTAAAGCCTCAGTTCTGTTCCAAGTGATTTGAATTGCATTTGGGAGAGGTTTGAAATGTCAAACCAGTCAGGGCTGGGGCTGGCACTGGTGGTACTGGTACCAGCATGACTTACCTTCTTTTTTTCCCCCCCCTCACAGAGCAGGAGACTGACAACAGCTAACAGCTACTGCTGGGGAGAGAATAACCTCAAATTGCAATCAGTCTTTTAAGGAACTAATTAACAACTTGCCCATTAAAAGTTTGTCTCATACCTCATCGAATCTGAGACCAGTTTAGCCCCTCCCACCTCCATCTTCAAGCTTTGATGTTACAGGGCACTGGATCTGTAATTAATTCCAGTCTATCCCAAACCCAAAAGAACCAAGATGCATTTTTTTTTCCTTTTCCAGAGGTAAAACCCTGTGCTGTTCTCTGTAGCAATTAAGACCACAAACAGGATGGTATCAAAAGCATAAATTCTTATATAATTGTACATCTTTTTGGACCCAAGGCCACACTATACAACATTATGAACAGTCATTTCCCCCCTCAGTGGCATCACAATAAGCTTATTCCAAACACCCTCAGCTCTTTTGAGAGTGAGAACTTAGATCCTTCCCATTGCAAAGAATTATCAACATTTCAATAATGCTTTATTAAGGGCAGATTAATATGCAGGAGTTTGGTTTTCTTTTTAATAGCTAAAAAAAAAAAAAAAAGCTAGAACTAGAAAAAAAAATAATTGAAGCTTCCAGAACAAAGTGCTGTCTTCTCTTTACAAGAAACGTGGAATACTTTCAAGTATCTTAGGCAAAGATACAACGAGGTTGAAAATTTCCTAGCTCATTCTACATACATACAGAGGAGTTAGTATGTGTTTGAAGGCTCAGGTGGTGTTAGATGGGCTGAGCATGGGGGTGTCCTGGTGAGCAGCTCCTATGTCACTGGATCCTGAGGGTGTAGAATCTGCAAAGGAGAAAAAATATGTTGCTTTGGACTCCTCTGTGTCTGATCTGTCTCAGTTTTCTTCCTATGTCTGTCCTGAGTCTCCTTTTCACCCCTTTTGGTTCAATATTGGGTTCATGTTTTAATATCACCAATCCAGAATAAAAAACAACCAAACAAAAAAACCCTCACTTTCAACCATAAAAGGGATTTTCATCATTTTTTTTCGGTGCTTTGGAGCTGAGGCAGAGCTAAACAAACACACACGTGTGGCAGCAGAGCCCGAGGGAGGGAAGCTGCTCAATGGCATCCTCAGAACAAGAGGTGACAAACCTGAGGCGAAGGTTTCAGCTCTCAGAGCCTGGTAATAAGCAAAAGCAGCTTAAAGATGAAAGCAAAGCTTCTTGTCAAGCAGTTGCACTGTGTGTTTGGGGAGGTGAGAGGATAGAGCAGCAGCTCAGAGAGAAAGGAGAACCCAGATATGGCTGCAGTGGGTCAGACAGCACAGAATTCAGAGCTTTGGGAAGGTGCAGAGTTCCTTATCTAGCAGAATACCCAACACAAACCTCCCTGTCCTTAAGGCAGGTGGTGGCAGCAGCATTGTGAGAGCTCTTTTGTAGAGCAGGAAGAAAGAGCTCAGAGGTTTTGAAAGCACATCACGTGCTTGGGGTGAACTCATTGATCTGTGTGATCACGTACATGTGCTTAAAAACCTCCTGGAGATGAAAGGAGCTGCTCCACATCCTCATCCCACTGTGTCTGCATCTGCAGCCTGAAAGGATATCTGAACAGCACCGAGGCTTTCAAGCCATTTTTTCCAAGAGATAATTGGGACACAAATACAAGCAACTGCTTAGCTATCTAGAGCAAAGCAGCAGTGTTGATCTGAGCTTGCCTGTTCTTTCCTGCAGACAATTTGCACCTTCCAGGAGGCAGCAAAGGGGTTAGAGCCCAGACCTTGAGGGACCTCCAGGCAGTCCTGGAGGGCTCTGAATGCCCCAGAGGCAGCAATATTTACCAATATTTAATGGATCTGCTGGTGCTGATCCTAATGTTCACTTTTCTCCCCAGAAATAAACAGGTAACACTGGCAGCCAAGTGCTAGTCACAAGGACTTTGTGCTCTTTAGGCAGTTGGAGAGAGGAGGAGAAGGGAAGAAGAAAAGGAAGACCATAAATGGCAAAGAAGCATCTAGAATAAATGCTAACAAGCAGAGAAATATCTGGAATAAAACATCTGGAGGGAAAAGCTCAAGGAATGGTGAAAAAGGGGCACAAACCCCACAAGTTTAGCTGCACATTGTTCCTGCTCCATATACTCTCCCCTTGGGGGAGTGTTTGCCAAGAGACTGTTAGGCAGTTATTTTCCCACCTTTTCCTGGCTGGATATCCACAATCACACAGTCATCATCTTCCTCATCTTCCTCAGTGTCTGCCTGGAATCCATCCAGCTCTGCAGCTTCAGCCTAGAGGGGAAGAAGAGGTACCAGGTGTGACAGTGCCCTCGAGGGCTGTGCTGGGCACAGCCTGAGCAGGTGGGAATGTTTGGAGGGAAGGAAAAGCAATTCCCAGCTCCAGCAGACACTGACTTTTGACAAAAAGCCTCATCTGCAGTGGCACACACGGAGTGGGAAGGATGCCAAGCTCCTGCTCCAAGATCTTTGCCTCTTACACAACGCTTCGAGCAGCCTACGCAGCACAGTCAGCTCAGGCCTCAGCGAGCTCTGGCTCTGCTGCTGGAGTTGGGAAGGGAAATTTCTCCCCCCTCTGCTGATTGTTTGCAGGGAATGACAGGATCATTCAATTTGGAAAAAGATTTCCAAGATTATTGAGCCCAACCATGTCCCCAAGTGCCACATCCACATGGCTTTTAAATCCCTCCAGGGATGGTGACTCCACTCCTGCCCTGAGCAGGACAACTCTTTCCATGAGGAAACCTTTCCTAATATCCAATCTAAACCTCCCCTGGCACAACTTAAGGCTGTTCCCTCTTGTCCTGTTGCTCCCTGGGAGCAGAGCTCAACTGCACCTCCAGGGAGTTGGAGAAAACAATAAGGTCCCATCTGAGCCTCTTTATTCCAGGAATCTATTTTGGATATTTTCTTCCTTCTGAAGATAGAAAATTATTTTTGCTTGTCCACTTTGAAGCATGTTCTCTCCCTGCCTCCTCCTTATCTTGGCCAATGGACTTTAATTGAGAAAGGGGCAACAGTTGTTCCCTTGCTGCCATGGAAAAGCCCAAACTTGCTCTTTTGAACCATGAAAACCAACACAAACAGAAGTTGAGGGGTCGCTGGGGTGTTTTTTGCCTTCAGCTGGAACTGTGGAGTGAAAATCCTGGTCCCCAGCTCCTACAAGCTGTTCCAAACCAAGGAATTTTCATTTCCTATCCTTCCCTAAAGCCCCAGTTGCCAGCTGAAGTCTCTCCTGCACATGGGCAGGTGCTGCCCAACTTCTTTCTCCACACCTTATGTAAGAACACCTTGACTTACACAAGTCTTGGGAGGAGTTTCAAGGCAGAAAAAGGTACCATCTGACAGCTGTGCCCTGTCCCAAGCTCTCCCTGGGCTCCAGCCTTGCTCCACAGGTAGACTGGGATGTTAATACCTAAGCAGTGCTGATTTAGACATCAGGCATGAAAAGCTTTCAGGGCTGTGCCACCTTTGCTCTGCACCTCAGCAGCATAGCTTTAAGATGCTTTGAAGCATTGAGGCTGGTGATGTAACTCTCCTAAAAGCCTTTGTTTTGCTATTTCTGCTCTGTTCTAAGCTGAATTTCCAGTGGGTGCCAAGCAGAGATTTTTATCTCTGCCTTTATTTAGTGTATAAGGCAAAAAAAAAAAA